CAAGAAGCCCCGACAATAACAGACTGGCATTATGAGCTGCAAGAATTTGCTGAAATGGCGCAGTTAACAAATACCCTGGGAGGCAATTCAAAACAAAAATTTATGGAAAAGTGGGATAGATATAAAACATATGTTCAAAAACACAACAAAGGTTCGCTATCTATGCTAGCATTCGATTGATGTTGGAGTGAGACTGAGTTGAGAAATAAGACTAAGAGCACATATTGATATAGGAATGTATTAGATAAAATGTAAAGAAATATACAATAATAAGAGTACATTCATTTGTAAAAAAGGAATATACAACTGGAAAGACAGGAAGTCTAGTGTGTTGGTATGTATATGATTTTTGGAAAAAAATGTTGTTTTTTCTTCTTTGTTCTTACTTTTTTTTGTTTCATTTTCTTCCTAGGTATATAAACGTGTATATAATTTTTGTATACATGTTGGAAACTTTTATTATAGTAAGTCCTGTAATGTAATATGACAATGTTTACCGATGTAATATAAGAATGTTAATAAAGAAGGCTGATCGCCGAAGAATGGATGCTTTCGAATTCTGGTGCTGGAGGAGACTCTTGAGAGTCCCATGGACTGCAAGAAGATCCAACCTCTCCATTCTGAAGGAAATCAGCCTTGAGTGCTCACCGAAAGGACAGATCCTGAAGCTGAGGCTCCAAGACTTTGGCCACCTCATGAGAAGAGAAGACTCCCTGGAAAAGACCCTGATGTTGGGAAAGATGGAGGGCACAAGGAGAAGGGGATGACAGAGGGCGAGATGGTGGGACAGTGTTCTGGAAGAGACCAGCATGAGTCTGACCAAACTGCGGGAGGCAGTGGAAGACAGGAGTGCCTGGCGTGCTCTGGTCCAGGGGGTCACGAAGAGGCGGACATGGCTAAACGACTAAACAACAACAACAATAAAAAAATAAAATGCTGGGGGGGGGAATTATTATTATTATTAGGCAGGCAAGATGGTCTGTGCCTGCAACTTGTAACTCAAAGCAGCCATCAGTAGGCAGAGCATGACGGCACTTGCAGTCCGTCCATCCCCCCCCCATAAAAAACCTGCAGGACAAGCCTAGGGCATCCTGCTGTTGCTTGAAACACTGATGGAGATTTCCTCCCCTTTCCCAAAAATGTTCCACCTGTTTACACCTGCCTAGTTTTTCCTCCCGCCCCAAACTCCAGGAGTGCTGTAATCCTCTCAAAAGCCCTGATAGTGGAGTGTTTGAATATTCATTTTTGCTGCAAGGGCTTAACAGCCTCATTAGCAAGTGAAGAGAAGGCCGTTCCCAGGGGTCTGGCCCACCTGCCTTAAGTTTGATGAGCCATAGGCTTTTTTGGAAGGGCTGGGGGTTGATTTTAAGCCCTGACTTAGAGGGGGAAATGTCTTTCCTGTCTGTGCAATGCAATCGGAAACACACCCACCCGCTGAAAGAAAACACCCCTGAGATTATTATCATTTTATTGCATTTCGTAGAATCTTAGAAGTGAAGATTTGGAATGCAGGAATCTCCACCGCTTTCCGAAGGGGGTCCATTCCAGGGTCAAAGATCTCTCAGCATCAGAAAGCTTTCTCTAATGTTCAGTCAGAATCTCCTTTGTTGTCTTCTGAATCCTGTGATTTGGGTCCTGTCCTATGGACATGGGTGGCACTGTGGGTTAAACCACAGAGCCTAGGACTTGCTGATCAGAAGGTTGGCGGTTCGAATCCCCACGACGGGGTGAGCTCCCATTGCTCGGTCCCTGCTCCTGCCAACCTAGCAGTTCAAAAGCACGTCAAAGTAGTAAAGGTAAAGGGACCCCTGACAGTTAGGTTCAGTCGCGGATGACTCTGGGGTTGCGGCGCTCATCTCGCTTTATTGGCCGAGGGAGCCGGCGTTTGTCCGCAGACAGCTTCTGGGTCATGTGGCCAGCAGGACTAAGCCGCTTCTGGCGAACCAGAGCAGCGCACAGAAACGCCGTTTACCTTCCTGCCGGAGCTCCCGGTGGAGTACAGGGTCAGATTTAAGGTGCTGGTTTTGATCTTTAAAGCCCTTCATGGCCTAGGACACTCGTACCTACAGGACCACCTCTCCCGGGATGCCCCACAAAAAGCCTCAAGGTCCATAAATAGGAACACCCTAGTGGTCCCGTGCCCTAAGGAAGTTACCGTGATTAGCTTCAACCAGAGCCAGGGCCTTTTCAACACTGGCCCCGGCCTGGTGGAACGCTCTGTCTCATGAGACCAGGGCCCTGAGGTATCTGATTTCTTTCCACAGGGCCTGTAAGTCAGAGTTGTTCCACCTGGCCTTTGGCTTGGAATCAGTTTGATTCCCTCCCCCTTTCTTTTTTCCTTTCTCCTCCTGTGATGAGGCTGCATTTTAATGTAGTTTAATCTTGTTTTTAAGTTGTATTCATTCAACTTGTTTTTATTATTGCTTGTTAGCCGCTGTCACCATCTGCAGTGATCATGGAGCCCAAGAAAGTAAAATCTCTCACTGCCTCCATTTCTTCCCCTTCTATTTGCCAGGAGGTGATGGGCCCAGTGGCCATGATCTTCCTTTTTTTTGATGTTGAGCTTCAGACCATATTTTGCGCTCTCCTCTTTCACCCTCAATAAAAGGTTCTTTAATTCCTCCTCACTTTCTGCCATCAAGGTTGTGTCATCTGCATATCTGAGGTTGTTGATATTTCTTCCGGCAATCTTAATTCCGGCTTGTGATTCATTTAGCCCAGCCTTTCGCATGATGAATCCTGCATATAAGTTAAATAAGCAGGGAGGCAATATACAGCCTTGTCGTACTCCGTTCCCAATTTTGAATTTTACCCAAGTTTTCTCTCATTTGCCTTTTACAATACAGCCAGTTTCGGGGGGGGCGGGGGCGAGGCGAGTGGAGAAGAGCAGCCCAGCCAAGGATCAAAATCTGCACCAAAGGTGAATCGTTTAGGTGGTACCAGGAACTCCACCCCCAAAAAATAGCATGTGCCACCCCACCTGCAGTTTCGGTCTTCTGAATGCGCATTTCTGTGATACTGGAGATTGGGTGGGAGGAAAGGAAGGGGTGGGCCTACCCCCTTCCTCCTTTACCTGCAGACTTACCTGTGGAAGGGGGGGGGAGAAAAGGTGCTGGGAGGCTTGCAGGCCAGAAGGCTGATCACCAAAGAAGGGATGCTTTTGAATTATGGTGCTGGAGAATAATTGGGTGAACTCTCCCTACCTTGGATCAAATCTACGCTTCCAGGTGCCGTAAGGAAGCTGCAGAGATAGCGCAGGATAGTGCGCACCCTGGAAATGATCTCTTTCAGCTTCTGCGTTCTGGAAGAAGGTACAGGGTTATAAAGACTAGGACTAGCCACCTGAGACCTTGCCAACAAAGGTCCGTATAGTTAAAGCTCTGGTTTTCCCAGTAATGATGTATGGAAGTGAGAGCTGGACCATAAAGAAGGCTGATTGCCAAAGAATGGATGCTTTTGAATTCTGGTGCTGGAGGAGACTCTTGAGAGTCCCATGGACTGCAAGAAGATCAAACCTCTCCATTCTGAAGGAAATCAGCCCTGAGTGCTCACTGGAAGGACAGATCCTGAAGCTGAGGCTCCAAGACTTTGGCCACCTCGTGAGAAGAGAAGACTCCCTGGAAAAGACCCTGATGTTGGGAAAGATGGAGGGCACAAGGAGAAGGGGACGACGGAGGACGAGATGGTGGGACTGTGTACTCGAAGCGACCAGCATGAGTTTGACCAAACTGTGGGAGGCAGTGGAAGACAGGAGGGCCTGGCGTGCTCTGGTCCAGGGGGTCACGAAGAGGCGGACACGACTAAACGGCTAAACAACAGCAATGGGCCAAAGTGATGTATTCCAAGCCCCGCCCACTCTTTTGCACCTGAGTAAAATCGGCCACAATTCCAGCAGATAGGACCCGAACCAATGGATTCAAATGAGATTCAGGTGAAACATTAGGACGGGGTCAGCAAACTTTTTCAGCAGGGGGCCGGTCCACTGTCCCTCAGACCTTGTGGGGGGCCGGACTATATTTTGAAAAAAAAAGAACAACTTCCTATGCCCCACAAATAACCCAGAGATGCATTTTAAATAAAAGGGCACATTCTACTCATGTAAAAACATGCTGATTCCGGATTTAGAAGGTGATTCGGCTGGATCCGGCCCCTGGGCCTTAGGTTGCCTACCCATGCATTAGGACAAGCTTTCAGATAGCAAGAGCTTTTCGGTGGGCTCTCCATCAGGGATTCTTCCAATTCTGCAGTTGTAGGAGTGTCAGGATGACACAGTGGAGCAAAGGATCTTTCCAAGACAGCGCGGGCTCCCAGGATGAGCCCACCGTGTCTCATTGATTTGTTAATATATTTACCAGAGTTATTTTTCAGCTAGAGGCACATCCCCCTCCAATTACTCCCCTAACCCTAACCCTTAGGCAAAAGCAGGCAGGGCACCACCTGCAAATTTTACCTTTGTAAAGGCACTGGCAGGTGCAATTTGAGCCCCGCAAGAGTGTCAGTTTTGGGACACCAGCCAGGGAAAAGCAGAAAAGCACCCCAGGAAAGGCAGAGAGACTAGATGAAGGGCTGCACAAAAGCAGCCTAGGACCTGGGAGGTCTGGGTTCGAATTCTGACCCTCAGCCAGGAAGCTCCCAGTGGATGACTGCCTGCCTCATGTGATTGTTGTCTATATTCCTATGATCCTTTCCAATTCTACAATTTTGAACGTCAGTCATGGGGCCCACCTTCCCAGACAGCGCTCGTTCCAGAAACCACCAAATTTGGTTCTTCCGCAGGTAAGCTGTTAAGTTAGCCAGATTTCTTGTCCACACCTAGCTTGGGGAACAGCCTCTGTCCCTCGCACAAATATCCGCTTGTAAGGAATGCCAGGAGCCGCTGGGCGTGAGCAGGATGAAGGCTGGGCCGGGACCCCTTCCAAACACAACCCCCCCCCGGCCACATCTCACCCCCATTTCCCCTCTCTGTGTGCAGAGGCTGCAGACGTCGGACAAAACTGCACCACCAACTTTGGCAAGACTCGTCGCATTTTATTGAAGGCCTGAGCAGCAGGAGTCACCGGCCGAGGGGGGCTTCGTTCTCCGTAAGCCACCCCCACCGGGCAGAGAGAGAAGAGAGACAGAGAGAACATGGCAGGCAGGACAGAAAGCAACCTTGGTATTTAGGCGTTGTAGTTTTTTTCAAGAGTTGGGTTTTTTATTCTCTTTTTAAATACTGTACAGTGAAAAATAAATAGTCTCAACCGTCACAGATCAAATCCCCCCTTTTCCCCCACACACAAACACACAAACTCAAGGCAAGCCGCGCCAGGAGCGACGTCGCCACGTCCGCTTGCGCCCTAAAAGCCTGGCGTTTTCCTCTCTTTTTGCTGTTGTCTTCCACAGTGTTTTTAGAATCAAAGGGGGGGAAATTAAGAAAAGGATTACTGGTCTGGGGTGGGCCTACAAAGCAGGTGCCTCGCGTCTCCCGTTTCTCCCTAGCAGAGCACCGCCTCGCCCGTCTCCTGGTTTGCGGAAGAGGGTCCTACCTCTCCGTGGCCAGAACCCCCCCTTTGGGGTGGGGAAAGGGGCGCACAGCCCAAAACAACCTCAGGACACCCTCTCTGTGCCCTGGGCGGGCCAGCCTCCCTGCTTCGCTCTCCCGGACGTGACCTCGCCTTTGATTTTTCACTAGTCAAAGAGGAAAGGGAACCAAAAAACGGACACAAGAGCACTCTTGTGCTCTTGCGGTGTGTGTTGTGTGTGTCTGTGTGTGTGTCTGCATCGTCATCAGAAGGCACAGGTTTCTCTCCCCCCCTCTCCTTTCTCCAGTTTTGAAAAGCCAGTTATTTTTTTATTTTCTCTCTTCACATTTTTGTTTCTAAACAGAAAAAAACTCTTATAAGTCACCAAAAACAGATGCATGTTAAGTCATAGTAGTTTTTCCCCCTACACTGTGTGCGCCTCTAAGAAAAGGGAGGGGGGTTACGAGCTCAGGTAGCGTCAGAGATTCCCCCCCCCCTTTGACATAACAAGAGGGCAGAAAAGAAAAGAGAGGGGTTTTGTTTTGAATTTTTCACTGCCCTGTCTGGCTGCCACTGCTGAAAGCTTAACCAGGATGCGTTAAGAGCTGTGGTAAAGAAGAGTATCCCATCTTTGGCAAGCTTTTAACGAGCGCTAGATCATCATTACCTTGGGATTCGGGTCGATTTGTTTCGTTTCGTTTTTTTTTTTTAAAATAATGGTTTTGTTCTTAAACAAGAGACTGGTGTGGTGTTTATTTCGTTTTCTCTTTAAGATGTTGCAAGCAGGTGGAAAGTAGGGATCGTTTTCGTTTCAGAGGAGGGTTCGGCCGGCTGCGACTTGGGGCAGGGGCCCCGCACGCAAGCGAGCTTAGGACACGCCGTTCACCAGGGCAGCCACCTCCTCGCTGGCGGCAGCATGCTCGCCGTTCTCCGTAGGGCCGTTGACAACCTTGCTGGTGGTCTCAACCTGGAAGAGAAGCCACAAAAAGCAAACCAGTGACCCCCTTGGCAGGCCCAGCAAACTTGAGAGAGGCATGGCTGCAGCCGGCCTAAATCGGTTTATCATTTCCAGCAAGAAATACAGTGGTACCTTGGGTTACAGACGCTTCAGGTTACATTCACTTCAGGTTACAGACTCCGCTAACCCAGGGCAGCTGTTTATCAGCTCCACCTGGTACGCAGGCGAAGACCCTACCAGAGTGGTGCATGCTCTAGTTATCTCCCGCTTGGACTACTGCCATGCACTCTACGTGGGGCTACCTTTGAAGGTGAACCAGAAACTGCAATTAATCCAGAATGCGGCAGTTAGACTGGTGATTGGGAGTGGCCGCCGGGACCACATAACACTGGTTCTGAGAGATCTGCATTGGCTCCCAGGACGTTTCCGAGCACAATTCAAAGTGTTGGTCTTGACCTTTAAAGCCCTAAATGGCCTCGGTCCTGTATACCTGAAGGAGCGTCTTCACCTCATCGTTCAGCCTGGACACTGAGCTCCAGCGGCGAGGGCCTTCTGGCGGTTCCCTCATTGCGAGAAGTGAGGTTACAGGGAACCAGACAGAGGGCCTTCTCGGTGGTGGCGCCCACCCTGTGGAACACCCTCCCTTCAGATGTGAAGGAAATAAGCAGCTATCCTATCTTTAGAAGACATCTGAAGGCGGCCCTGTTCATGGAAGTTTTTAATATTTAACGCTGTACTGTTTTTAACACTTGATTAGGAGCCGCCCAGAGTGGCTGGGGAGACTCAGCCAGATGGGCGGGGTATAAATAATAAATTATTATTATTAGTAGTATTAGTATTAATATTATTAACTTTGCTTCAGGATGAGAACAGAAATTGTGCTCCGGCAGCAGTGGGAGGCCCCATTAGCTAAAGTGGTGCTTCAGGTTAAGAACAGTTTCAGGTTAAGAACGGACCTCCGGAACAAATTAAGTTCTTAACCTGAGGCACCACTGTAGTATCTTTATATTTCTTTCATGGTGACAATTTTTCTTCAGCTACGGTGTTCATTTCTTGGACGGAAAAAATGTTACTTGAACAGCTGCTGAAACCTTACTTAAAAATAAAATAAAAAAGCAAAATGACTATTTTTTTTAACACGTTTAAAATAAACTTCCCCCAAAATGGCTGTTCTCTCACTTCTCAACCATCTTCTTCCGCACTCTGTATAAAAAGGACATTATTGCACCTGATCAGAACTTCACAGAGGCGTCAAGATGGCGTGGCATCAATATGCAAAATCCAGTTTCACCATCACAGGCTTCCCAGTCTGGACTGAGGAGCAGGATCACAGCAGCCTGACCAGCCTGAGGGCAGCTGTGGCAACACGCCTGAATTGGTTTCTCTGGCTCCCCACACCCCAAATATTACAAAAAAACCCCCAAACCCCTCTTGCTGCTTTTCTCAGAAGCTGCCATGTTTTTGTTCCAGGTGCCCCAAATAGCGGCACACACACACACACACACACACACACACACAAAAACAGCCTTCTGGGGCACGAGGCACAAAGCCCTGCCCAAACATGGCCTTGGCTCACCTTCTGCTTGGGTGCGTTGTCCTCCGACGACTTCTCTCGGCTCTCTTTGCGCGGTGGGTGCTGACGGCTCTGAGACTCTGCTCGGGAAATGTAATCGGCTACGGTGACTGTTGGCGATGGGGAAGGGGGTGAAAAAGACACAAGGTCACGCACGGAAAAGCCCAAGCAGGTGACTACGCAGAAGCTTCCCCAAAGGAAGAGAGGAAGGCTGAACGGCGATACCTTGCTGGCGGTCCCGGCTGATGGAGCCGTCCACACGGTTGCCGCGGTTGCGTCGGCGCCTGCTCCGGTTCCGTCTCTGCGGTTTAGACTCTTCCTCTGGCGGAGAAAAGAGGCAGGGCGGACTCAGGAGGGATAGGAAGGCTGCCTGTCCACCTAAGGGACTCCTCCATGGCCGCCCGCCAAACCCCTCCCCACACAGCCTGCCAACGGGCTCACACTGAGCTGCACTCCCTATCACAACCCCAAGGTCTGTCATTCCTGAACTGCAGGGGTTGGACTAGATGGGAGCCCCTTCCATCTCCACAGTTCTGCTATGCTATTACAGTGGTACCTCGGGTTAAGAACTTAATTCGTTCCGGAGGTCCGTTCTTAACCTGAAGCACCACTTTAGCTAATGGGGCCTCCCGCTGCCACCACGCGGTTTCTGTTCTCATCCTGAAGCAAAGTTCTTAACCCGAGGTACTATTTCTGGGTTAGCGGCGTCTGTAACCTGAAGCGTCTGTAACCGGAAGCGTCTGTAACCCGAGGTACCACTGTACAGTGGAACCTCGGTCATCGAACGCTTTGGCTTTCAAATGCAGACAACCTGGAAGTAAATGCTTGCATTTTCAAACGCGCCTTGGAAGTCGAATGGCTTCCAAGGTAAGTTCCTCCATTTTTTCAATGGATTTTGGGCCTTGGTTGTTTATTGTTTCGGAAGCTGAACGGTCTTCCGGAACAGATTACGTTTGACAACCAAGGTTCCACTGTACAGCGGTACCTCGGGTTACAGACTCCACTAACCCGGAAATGGTACCTTGGGTTAAGAACTTTGCTTCAGGATGAGAACAGAAACAGCGTGGCGGAAGCGGGAGACCCCATTGGCTAAAGTGGTACCTTAGGTTAAGAACCGTTTCAGGTTAAGAACGGACCTCCAGAACGAATTAAGTTCTTAAGCCGAGGTTCCACGGTATTCTCTTTCCTGGGTAGTCACAGTCAGCTCATATCCCATCTGATTACATTAATAGTAATGAAATATTATTATTTTGTTAATAATAAAAATAACTCCCTTTGCCCTAAGGTCCCTGGGTGCGTTAGAGCATCGAAACACAGACAATATTAAAAACAGTTTACAAAAACTTATGATCACAAAAACAAGGTGGGTCTTAAAAATACACCCCTCAAGTGTCAAAGGCCAGGCTAAAGAGGTGCGTTAAGGATTTATGGCTCTTTCGTCTCATTGACAACGGCACTCAACTGGCCAAACGTGAGCAGAATCAGATCCTCAGTTCCAGCCACCACAGGTGCAACTTTAAAAGCAACGTAGGCACCTTGAGCAGATTTATTTATTTACAAAGATATTTCTATATTGCTGTGTTGTGAAAATGTGTTTATAGCCATTTATCTCATAAAATTTGTACGCCTCTTGGTTGTAAAAAACAACAACCACCTTATAAGCGGTTTACAAAACAAGATAAAAAAATATTGCAGCCATACTTCAAAACAGGAATAGGAAGGTTTTCAGCAGGTATTTAAAAGCTGGCGGGGAAGGCAGGTAGGGGTGACCAGAACTCTGTTAGACCGACCGCCTCCACCAAGAAAAAGAGCCCAGCAGCCCCATCTCCCACCTCTTCCTGATCCCCACAACCTACGGCTGGGAATGGGCCTGCCTCACCCTCCACTCACCCAGGCCATTCTCGTTGACAGACATGTTGTCCGACTCCAGGCCTCCGTCCATCATGGTGGCGTCTTCGTCAGTGCGGCGCCGGCGGGACCGACGCCGGCGGTTGCTGACAGGCTGCGACTCGCTGGCGTCCGTGTCCGCGGTCTGGTCAGTTTCGGTGTTGTCCAGCAGGCTGTAAGGGTTGCTGTCGGGGTCTTTCAATACTGCAGAGGGAAGAGGCCGCCCATCAACTCCTTATTTGGAGGGACAGTCCCTTATCCCAGCACCATGTCCCGCTGCTGTCCCTTGTTGATCGATGTTCCTTAAATTTCCCGAGTTTCAAAGGAAGCAGCTCCTCTCCCTCCCTCCCTGCCGGCCGGCCAACTGTGTTGCTTGGCTGCCCGGTCCGCCCCCCTCCGGCCTCCTCTCACAAGCCTCGGCCCCCGGGAACCCCTCCCCGCCGGGAGCCTCAGGCCCTTCCGCCGCTATCCTCCTCGCAGCCGCCGAACGGAGCTTCTCTGCCTGGGGCCTCCCCTCTGCCCATCACCGCCGCTCCCGCTAGGCCGTACTGCGGCTGTGCCGCTGAAGGACCCGAATGAGATGGGCAGCCTGGCATGGTCTATGAATTGATGAGGAGCCTTGAGAGGAGAACGAGGGCAACCATAGAGAAAGCAGTTCAGAGAGAGGAGGAAGAGGAGGAAAAGAAAGAGGAGGCGGAGGCGTGGGCAGGTTTCCAAGGGCTACAAGGGAAGGACCGCAAACGCTTCTCCCATAGATTTGTAGTGGTAGACTAGCATAGATGGTCTGATCTGCGGGTTTACTTTGGGCGCTATTTTCCCCCCCTTCCTCCCGCCCCACCTGATGGAATTGAGAGCTGCAGATGGAGCACGAGAGAAAAGATACAGAACTGCAGCAGCATCTTCGTAGCTTGGACTTCGTTTTGCGCAAAAAGTGGTTGCTGCTTGTAGTTATTTAATTGCAGTGTTTCATCGGCTGGTGTCTTGAGCAGCAACCTCTGGAAACGAAAGGCTAAAAACCAGCGCTGCTCTCCAAAATTCTCTGGTCCCTTTTAACTGGTTGACTAAAATCCCTTATTTTGGCTACTGGTCCCTTATTTTCAAGGCTGCTGGTCCCTTATTTTCAAATCTGCAAGTTGACAGCTATGGTCCTAGAGGCCTCCCAGCTCCTTCCCAAAGCTGGTAAAATGCGAAATAGGCTTTGGGTAGGAGGCTGGAGGACTCTAGGACACTGTCAGAGGGTCCTCACACTGCCTTCCCAAAGCCTTGCTCACCTGGCTTTGGAGGGGGCAGTGTTAGGGTGTCAGATGTTCCCAAAAAAAGGCCTCGAAGGCTACCACACGTCAGACCACCCTGTCCTAGGCCTTTGTCCTAGGAAATCCAGAGCTCAACAGCCACTGATGGGAGGGGAGGTGTCTTTAGGCTGTCCCCCCACCAAGTCACAGCAACGCTTGAATCCAGCTGGCCACGCAGCCCAGGAACATCCTGCTCAGGGTTTGGGACACGCGAGTGATGGAGCGCCCCCCCGCTTTCTGCCTGCGGGGAACCCAAAAAGGCTTCTGCTTCTTTCGTACCTGAACTGATGGAGGAGCTGTTGTACTTGCCGCCGCCTCCTCCACTGCTGCTACTTCCGCGAGGCGCCGGAGCGGGGCCCCGCCCCCGCCCCACCCCTGGCCGTCTGCGGTTGTCCTCCGGGCGGGGGTCACGGTCGCTGAGCGGCGGGCACTCGTAGTCCTCTCTCTTTTCAGACTCCGTTTCCGAAGCGTTGGACACGTCCGAGTTGGTAGCTAGGGAGACGAGGCGAGGAAAGAGGGGGCCCAAGTGGGAACTTAAGTGGCTGGGTTTAGAGCAGGGGCTCCAGCGAGCTGATCTCAGCAGACACCCCACCCCTATTAGAGTCTGGATGCTGCAGGTGAACCTGCGCAGCAGGGGGAAAGACTGGTGGCAGGGAGACTGCTTGCCTCCAGGCAGGAGGTTGCACTCACTGTTACATTTAGCAAAACCTCTAACTCAGCCTTTCTCAACCTGTGGGTCCCCAGATGTTGTTGAACTACAACTCCCATCACCCCTAGATAGCAAGGCCAGAGCTCAGGGATGATGGGAGTTGTAGTCCAACAACATCTGGGAGCCCACAGGTAGAGAAAGGCTGCTCTAACTGCTCTACAAGACTCTAAAAGTATTAAATGTCAAAATATACTAAATACAGTAAAATGGAGATCAACAAGCAGCAAATTTGCTACAGCAAGCAGGATAAATGCTCCTAATCTTCAACATAGGCAAATGAGTTTTTAAAAGTAAAGGACCCCTGACAGTTAAGTCCAGTCGCAGACGACTCTGGGGTTGCGGCACTCATCTCGCTTTACTGGCCAAGGGAGACGGCGTACAGCTTCCGGGTCAATAGCTGATTTGGAAGGATGCTATACAACTGATTGATGTCAAACTGCTGATTTGGAGGAATGGTAAACAACTGATTTGATGTTAAACGGCTGATTTGGTGGAATGCTAAATGGCTGATTTGGTGGAATGCTAAACAACTAATTTGATGTTAAACAGTTGATTTGGAGGGATGGTAAACAACTAATTTGATGCTAAACGGCTGATTTGGAGGGAGGCTAAACAACTGATTTATGTTAAACGGCTGATTTGGTGGGATGTTAAATGGCTGATTTGGAGGGATGCTAAACAACTAATTTGATGTTAAACGGCTGATTTGGTGGGATGTTATCAATGTGATACAAAGAGCTCTTCCATGTGTGCAATCCTCAGATATTCTGGGCGCAGTCCTTTGCCACCAGGAATACAGCCGGCCTCATCCAACTTACCATAACCAGAGTTGGGTCCCCTGCGCCCACGGCCGCCGCGCCCACCGTAGCTGCCCCCGTAGGTCCGCGTGCCGTGCAGGGAGGAGGAGGTGCTCTCGTCCGTGGTGTAGCCGCCCCGCTCCTTATCCGACCGGTTGGAGAGGGGGCGGAAGCCCAGGCCGATCTGGCGCAGCTGCTCATCGATCTGCAGCCGCTCCAGGCGCAGCTGCTCCACCTCCTAGCAGGGGGAAGGGGAAAGGGGTTGAGAACAAGGCCCCAGGCCACCACCCCCAGTCGGGGAGGAGCCAAGGGCCTCACAGAGAAGGAGGGAAGAGCGTCTGTGTGCTTCAAGAGTGCCGCAGAATTTACGCCGGCCGTCTCTCAGCAGCATTTGGAAAAAAGCTGGGGGAAAGTCGGGCAGGAAGGACACAAACGGTCAAGACTCTTCCAAGGCCAGGAAAGGCCCCCCAAAAGAACTGTGCAAAAGCATTCGGGGGGCACCCCAGCTACATCTTCTGGACTTCACTCATTTTATTTGTATGCCGCTTTCTATACCCCCCAAAAAAAACTGCACACTCAAAGAAAACAGGATTTGCAATTCAAAACCAAACAGTGCAAAATGAAATTTTATAACCATAGTAAGTATAGTAAAGGTAAAGGGACCCCTGACCGTTAGGTCCAGTCGTGGCCGATTCTGGGGTTGCGGTGCTCATCTCGCTTTACTGGCCAAGGGAGCCGGCGTACAGCTTCCGGGTCATGTGGCCAGCAGGACTAAGCCGCTTCTGGCGAACCAGAGCAGCGCACGGAAACGCCTTTTACCTTCCTATTCATCTACTTTCACTTTGACGTGCTTTCGAACTGCTAGGTTGGCAGGAGCAGGGACCGAGCAACAGGAGCTCACCCCATTGTGGGGATTCGAACCGCCCACCTTCTGATCAGCAAGTCCTAGGCTCTGTGGTTTAACCCACAGCGCCACCCACGTCCCCAGTAAGTACAGTAACATACCCAAAAAAAACCAACCCCAAAAATTCAGTGCTGTAAGCAATATCCAGCACCCAACAGCAAAAATAAAAAAAGGAGATTGCCAGTTTCCCCTTGGTCCTGGAAAGACCTGTCCTGTGATCTTGCTCAGAGATCTGCAGCAGATTCCAAGGGGAAGGAGGAGGGGTAGCTAGAAAGCTGCCTTCCCATGATGCTGATCTTTAAACATCAACATGTGAGCACCTGGGGGGGGGGGAAGGCAGAGGTCCACAGAACCGGGTGGCAGTTCCGACATTCTGCACCTGTGTCCCGAAATGGAGGGGTCTGGCGAAGATGGCTCTGGCCCCAGGGCGATGGAAGCAGGCTTGCCCCGTGGCCCCATCCTCCCTCGCCACAGCCCAGGAGAACCACACCAGCGGCCTTACCTGAAGGTAGGAGAGATGGTACTCCAGCAGCGCCTGCGCGTTGCTGATGTTCTCCCGCGTTCCCACAAAGATGAAAGGGACCATCCCCTGGGGAAAGGAGACAGGGAGGTTGGCAAAGAGCAGGGCACCTTTTCCCCAGGCAGAAGACGGAGAGGTTACCAGGGCTGCCAGCTTTAAAGCCAATTAGTCAACGTTCCCCGCAGAGGCATCCCAGTTAAACCAAAGGGATGACCTTTTGTGCTCTGAGAAAGCAGAGTTTCGACCAGAGCGGGACAGAGGGCAGGCCTGTGTGAGTTTTCGAGAGGGAAAGATTATCGGGATCCAAGAAAGCAAGAAAGAGTCAGAGACATACATTTGGTTCTTGTCCAATGTCTGTGTCTTGGACAGCTTTAGCCAGGGGACAAACTGGACCAGCCAGCAAGGACTGAAAGCAGACAAACGCAGATGGGATGATTTGATGGGGCGTGGCACGTGGGCAAACGTGGGACACTGTGGCTTTGAGAAGAGACGGAAACCTGGGGCTTGGGAACCGGGGCAGGGGACCCACACAGGAAGAAGCTGCTGCGGTGGCTTCTCCGCTCGGCAGCCCAATTTACCTCCTCCCTGGGGTTCTTCTTGTCGTTGTCACCTTCCACCCGAACTCGGACCACGCCGGATTTGTCCACAATCTCCTGGATGACTTTGCCGTTCTTGCCTATCACTTTCCCTGCAGGAGGCAAATGAAGACAGGGAGTTGGAGGGCGTGCGTAAATCAAGCACACACAGGCTGTCGGCACGTTGCTCTGCCGCCTTAACTCTATGTCCCCAGCGCCAAGTCACTTGCAAATTGGCACCATAGTGCCTTGGAGGGGGACAGGTCAATGGATGAGGAAACCCACTAGTAAACAACACCTCCATACAAAAAAGAACCCCTTTTTTTGCACACACACACCCTTGTGCATTTGCACTCGTTGCCAATGACAGGGAAGGAAAATCATTGACGCCCTTCTGTTGCTTGAGGAAAATCTATGCAACAAATCTTTGCTTGAGAAACAGCTCTGCCAACCGGGTGCCTTGGACTGAACCTTCCCCTGCCTGTCTTGTGCAACTAAATCCTGGGTTTTCTCAAGCAGAATTGCTGCAACTCAACTCCCAAGCAAACTCCAAGGTAGCACTGGCTTCCCAATCTGGTTTCACAAACATACCGTATTTTTCGCCCCATAGGACGCACCTAGTTTTTTTGGGGGGGGAAATAAAGAAAAAAAAAATTTTTCCCCCCCCCAGGTGCGGGGCTGGGGTGGGGGAAGCCCGAACTTCCCCCGACCCCAGCCTCCAGAACAGGCTGCTATCCACAAGCCATGGGAGAGCTGCGCGAAGTCGTCCGGCTCTCCCACGGCTAGCGGAGCGCTGCGTGAAGCCCGAAGCTTGGGGCATGCTGAGCTCAGCGCGCCCCAAGCTTCTGGGTGCAGGCAAGCTCTCCGCTAGCCGTGGCAGAGCTGCGTCTCCCACGGCTAGCGGATAGCTTCCTGAAGCCTGGAGAGCGAGAGGGGTCGGTGCGCATCGACCCCCCTCGCTCTCCAGGCTTCAGTGAAAGCCTGCATTCGCCCCATAGGACGCACACACATTTCCCCTTCATTTTTGGAGGGGGAAAAGTGCGTCCTATAGGGCGAAAAATACGGTAGGTTTTTGTGAAGGGAGAGAAAGAATGGGATGCTCCATCAGGTTTCGTCCTGGAGCTAGAAAACTGTCTCACTCACCGACTAGGTTCCGAGGGACTTGAACAGAGTCTTCAGAGAATTCGAGGAAGCTCCTGGCCTGCTTGCAGGCTTCCGGGGTCTGCGGAGGAGCAAAAGGGAACAGCATGCCAAGCAGCTCAACACACTACGCCGGTGGCTTGCGAGGTTTTAGGCCACCACGGCTGCTCAGGCCTGACAAACTGTTTGCAGATCCTCCCACTGCACAGCCACACGCCAGGCCTTTCTCCCTCCAGGCCAAAAGACCCCAAAGTTCGTTCTTTCTCAGTTAAAGCCGCCTTGCTTACCAAGCCCCACAACCAGAGTTTCCGGCCCCACTCGCAGGATTCATTTATCAGGTGGGTCTTTGTTCCTTTTCTCTACACACCAGCACCAGGCAAAAGGAAAGCAGCCTGGCCCACCCCCTCTTCTCCCGGAAGTCTGGAAGCAGCCCCCGGCCCCTACCTCCCCGTAGATGCGGAAGGTGCAGGTCTCCTCGTCCAGCTCAATGGCAGTGACGCCCTGCACTTTCCGGGCCTGCTGGATGTTGGCCCCGTGCGTTCCGATGGCCAGCCCCATCAGGTCCTCCCGCACCGTGAACTCCTCCTGGAATGCCGACGCCAGCTGCTTACTCGTCTGCGGGGAGAGGCAGAGGCATGATGGGAAACAGGTCTCAGAAGTCGCGTGAGCCCCACCTCTCTCTTCAAGCCTGGGCCCTCACCCCCCACAAAAGGCCCGGCATTCAGGCCAGGCAGCCACACTTGGGGACAGAGCAGGTCTTATAAGACTGGATCAACTAAGGTTGGCACGTGGGTCCTGAATGGGGCAACTGTGCCACTGAAGGACCAGGTGCGCAGCCTGGGAGTCATTCTGGACTCACCACTGTCCATGGAGGCGCAGGTCAAATCTGTGTCCAGGGCAGCTGTCTACCAGCTCCACCTGGTACGCAGGATGAGACCCTCCCTGCCCGCAGACTGGCCAGAGTGGTGCATGCTCTAGTTATCTCCCGCTTGGACTACTGCAGTGCACTCTACATGGGGCTGCCTTGGAAGGTGACCCGGAAACTGCCAATTAATCCAGAATGCGGCAGCTAGACTGGTGACTGGGAGCGGCCGCCGAGACCACATAACACCGGTCCTGAAAGACCTACATTGGCTCCCAGGATGTTTCCGAGCACAATTCAAAGTGTTGGTGCTGACCTTGAAAGCCCTAAACGGCCTTGGTCCTGTATACCCGAAGGAGCGTCTCCACCCCCATCTTTCAGCCGGACACTGAGGTCCAGCTCCAAAGGCCTTCTGGCAGTTTCCTCCCTGCGAGAAGCAAAGCTACAGGGAACCAGGCAGAGGGCCTTCTCGGTGGTGGTGCCCGCCCTGTGGAACGCCCTCCCTTCAGATGTGAAGGAAATAAGCAGCTATCTTCTATTTAAAAGACATCTGAAGGCAGCCCTGTTTAGGGAAGTTTATAATATTTAATGCTGTATTGTTTTTAACACTCAATTGAGAGCCGCCCAAAGTGCCTGGGGAAACTCAGCCAGATGGGCGGGGTATAAATAATATATTATTATTATTATTATTATTATTATATTATGTCAAGCTTGTGACTTTCACAGAACGCTGCACCCACAGCTGGAGGCAGAAGTGTGCTTTCCAAATACCAGCTGCTGGAAACTGCAGGAGGGGAGAGCGGCTCTTTTGGCGGGGGTCCTGCTTGCAGGTTTCCCATAAGAGGTACCTGGCTGACCACTGGGAGAATAGAGTGCTGGACCAGTTGGGCCTCTGGCCATCTTCTGGCATCTATATCTGGCAGGGAGTTCTCCCAAACTGAAACGCTGCATTCTCCAGCACTGCTTCGCATTTTAGAAAGGTACCCTTCTGCCTCCCCGCTTGGCACTCCTGTCCTTCGGGCCCAGGATGGCAGCTACTGTCAGCTAGTCCTGAGCCAGAGACGTTCCCCACTCCTGCACTCAGGGGGCGCTGTGGCACTCGGAGGGTCCTCTCTCTCTCACCTCCAAGTGTTTGTTGGCCTCCTCATTCCGGGACATGAGCATCAGCTTAGTCCGGATGCTGCGCAAGTGCATGTCGCCCAGCAGAGACGCCCTCTTGACGGTGGACTCGTTTGTGGACTGCAGGGAGAGAGAGAGAGCAAAAGTTAGTTAGGCCGCCACGTGCTGGCAAACCAAGAACACAGGTGAGCCTACGACACAGAACTGCCCCACCAGGTTTTAAGGTGTTTAGTCTAACAAGAATTCAAGCTGTCAGTTATCCTTTTCAACACTGGCTCCGGCCTGGTGGAACGCTCTGCCTCATGAGACCAGGGCCCTGCAGGATCTGATTTCTTTCCGCAAGGCCTGTAAGACAGAGTTGTTCCGCCTGGCCTTTGGCTTGGAGTCAATTTGATTCCCTCTTCCTCTTTCTTCTTTCTTTTCCTTTCTCCTCCTGCGATGAAGCTACATTTTAATATTTTAATGTTTCAATATTTTAATGTTGTTTTTAAGTTGGATTCATTCCGCTTGTTTTTATTATTGCTTGTTAGCCGCTCTGAGCCCAGCCTTGGCTGGGGAGGGCGGGGTATAAATAAAAATTATTATTATTATTATTATTATTATTATTATTATTATCATCCACCCAGTTAAAATTAAAGGAAAGTTAACACGGAAACCACAGGTCCTGGAGAGGATCATTTCCTCTGAAGCGAGAGAACTCCCCCACCCCACTCCATCCTGAGAAGACGCCCTTTATCATGTCCCAAGTGCAAAACGAGAAATCCATCACAGGTCTGGACGAGAAATATGCAAGAGCTGCGCCAAGCAGATGTAGAAGTTGCAATTGCGCATTTAGTGGTCATCTGCAGTTCCTGCCACTAGAGGGGAGTGAAGAGCCACACAGGGTCCGGCTCTGAGAACGAGTCACAGGCATTTTCCTCCCCACTTGGTTCAGCTAAGCAGGCAGACGCCACCCCGGGAACAGAGGAGGAAGAGCCTTACGAGGATGACGAGCTCACTGCTAGTGGAACTGAGGAAGATGCAGTTCGCGCTCACGGCTTTCTTGAACTCCTTGTGCACGTTTTCGTTTGAGCAGCTGCGAAGAGGAAACAGAGGAACGGTAAGAACCTTCGGAAAAGTGTGGACGCCAACCTGAGATGCTGAAAGTTCAGGCTTCCACATGCGGTGGACCTGTGAATCTGTACGGAGCTTTAGAGACAGGATTTACAAGAGATCTCTGAGATTGAAGGCAGCCCAGGGAGTCTCGATGCCAGGCTACGTTTACTACCAACGTTCGAGGAGGACGGTGCAGAGCTAGTTTGTAAAACTCTTACTATATATTTGTGGGCTGAGACAAGAATGACTACTGCCCAAGGATGGAGAAATGCCCTTCACATTTGGTTTAAGAAGGCCTTAAAGGTAAATATAAAGGGGACCCCTGACCATTAGGTCCAGTCGTGGCTGACTCTGGGGTTGCGGCGCTCATCTCGCTTTACTGGCCGAGGGAGCTGGCGTACAGCTTCCGGGTCATGTGGCCAGCAGGACTAAGCCGCTTCTGGCAAACCAGAGCAGCGCACGGAAACACCGTTTCCCTTCCCGCTGGAGCGGTACCTATTGATCTACTTGCACTTTGACGTGCTTTTGAACTGCTAGGTTGGCAGGAGCAGGGACTGAGCCAACGGGAGATCACCCCGTCGCGGGGATTCGAACCACCAACCTTCTGATCGGCAAGTCCTTGGCTCTGTGGTTTAACCCACAGCGCCTTACATATTGCTTATTCAGAAAAGTTGACTCATTCAATAACGCACCTCCTGAAACCGACTTCCCTTCTGTTAAGAAGCTCTTAGGCTTCTTTCCCTTCAGATGGAGCAAATGTCTGCACAGTGCAAGCAAAATCAGTCCCAGGCAGATGTGGGCTGATGGAGATTTGAATCGGAAAGAATGTGGATTTGGCAGACAAGCTCCCCCTCTCCCACACACAGTTGTTGTTATTACTATTACTATTATTAATACCCCACCCATATGGCTGGGTATCCCCAGCCACTCTGGCGGATTACAGAATATATAACATAATAAAGCATCAAACATTAAAAACTTCCTGATACAGGGCTGCCTTCAGATGTCTTTTAAAAGTTGTGCAGTTCTTTATCTCCTTGACATCTGGTGGGAGGGCGTTCCACTGGGAGGATGCCACTACAGAGAAGGCCCTCTGCCTGGTTCCCTGTAGCTTCGCTTCTCACACTGAGGGAATGAGCAGAAGGCCCTCCCATGGAGCTGGACCTCAGTGTCTCGGCTGAGCAATGGGGGTGGAGACGCTCCTTCGGGTATACTGGGCTGGGGCCGTTTAGGGCTTTAAAGGTCAGCACCAACCATTTGAATTGTGTTTATGTTAACACTCACGCCTCCTTGAGATCCTCTGGTACCGCAATGGTGACTTTGAAAAAGCTGCACTTGGTGGCCACTTTGCTGGGGTTGACAGGCCGCAGCCGCTCCAACGTGACAATTTCATTGTAGATGGCATCGCAAGCGGCGTATTCTATGACGTAGAACTGCAAGAGGAGAATGAGATCAGAGGGAGCCACAAAGAGCCCCTTCACTGACACAGCAAAGGAAGAGCCCAAAAGAGCTGCAGTTATGTTCCGCCTTTAGAGTTGTTAAGCCGAAGTAAACTCGAACAGGAAGGGGAAAGTGAATTCTAACTGCAAGAAGAAAGAACTGGAAGAAAAAAACCTGGAAAACTCTTCCATGGGGTTAGGGTCACAGTCCCCCCCCTCCCAATTGCAGGTTCCCCTCCCCTCTCTGGATGTAACAGTCTTTCTTGGAAACACAGAACCAGTTATGTTCACACTAACTCACTAATCACTGCTGTTTGAGGGAAGTGGAAACTTTCACACCTGCAAATTCAGGCTGGCTTACGACCCTGGAAATTTACTTGCTTTCATTATTTTTATGTACTTGAAAAAATTATACTCTACCTGTTCCCATCGAGTGAACTTAAGGCTGATTATGACAACCTCATAACAGCACGTCACAGAAGCATCATAAGAACATCTGCATTGCAGCACCGTCACTATTCCACATTGTGGCCCATGGCGCCCACATGCTCTGGGAGCCCAGCTGTGAGCATTTGCTGTGCGCATGGAGAGCTCCTACCATGTGCCGGGGAGGCGGAAGGGGCTCAGTTCATTAAATGTGTTAATGGTGAGAGGGACGGGCCGCACTGCCCCCTCACTGAATGCCCGGGAATATTTCAAGGGGGGTGTATTTTGTTCAATACTTACGTCTCCTTTCATCATTCGAACCCTGGCCAGCCACCAGCCACAAGGCTCATGCTCATTGGCTCGGGAATAAACCTAAGGGGACAGGGAAATTCAAGTTAGGGGGCACCCTCCACGCCCAGCAGCTTCCTGCTCACCCCACTGCTCCACCCCCCACCCCCAGAAGGGCGCGGAAAGCCTCTTGGCAGCCTTCACTCACCTCCACCTCATCCCCTTCCAAAATCTCCTTGCTGTAGTCTGCAGGTGGGGGCAGCCGCACGTCGCCGAAGGGGATTTGCCTTTCGGGCTGCCAGCTGCGAAGAGACAGAGTGTTATTCCAGGTGACAGTAAGGGGAGACCAGCTACCCATCAACACACAACGTTTCTTCACAAGCTATGGGAGGTGCTTGGGGCTAAACAATGCCAAGAGCCGAATTTTACGCAGGTGAAAGCAGCAGGGACCCTGGGTCAACACAGGCACTCCCACCAATTCAGAATGGCTGCTTCATAGAAGCACACTCCAAATACCCCCCTCCACTGCTAACAAGCTATTCTCTTCTCTAATGACTCAGCAGCATGTATCGGACAATGGCAGCCGGCCTGAATTCCTTCCCCACCCTGCTACTAGCAACATGCTTTTCCAACAACAATTGCACCTGCCAGAAAAAATTCCAGACCCCTGGCTGCACACGCACCTAGGAAATCAAATGTATCACCTTGTGACTTTAATTCCACACCCCCCCTTCCACCAGAGCTATGGAATGCTGGCTCTTAAATATTCAACGCTGGCTCCTAGGAACCACAACTATTTGGCGACGCCGCTGGTTAGTCATAAAGGCCACAGTACCATTACCTGATGGGGGTCAAAATAGATTAGAGGCAAGGAAGCCTGCTAAGAGCATGCAAGCGTTCTTGGGGAGGGGAACAGAGGCAAGATGAAAGAAATGAGGGGAGGAGAATGCAAAGACATATCCCCCACTCAGGAAACACCACAAGGAGGGCTGGAGACTGGGGCCAGCAGAGAGACACTCAGTGGGTATTTATAGCCCGCCCTTCCTCTCGCAGGGAGATCGTGTTCCGGCCCTGTCAGAGCACAATCCTGGGAACTGGCCGTGGTGCTGCAAGGCTGCCTCGTTAACTGCAGCGGAATTAGGCAGCATTTGCATACCGCTGCCACGCCCACACCACCCTGGGTGGGGAGACGGAGGCAGCCAGACCCAGCTGCTGGCAGGCTGCCAGCCTCCCTCTGCTCACTAGTCCCTTACTGGCTGACAACCAGAGCCGCAAACTCGGGCGGCCTGTCAGCGAGAGCCCCAGCAAAGCCAGCACCTGCTCTTCTCAGAGAGCAGGGCCAGAACCTCCGCCCACAAAGCTTTTTATTTTTCCCGGGTGGGGTGGGGGGAAGCAGACGGTTGCTTGACTGCCGCGCCTAGAGGCCAGGGTGGCTCCCTTCCTTACAGCTGTTGCAGAGACACGTGTCTCCCCGACGCTTCAGCTGCTGAGGAAGGACCTCTGCGAGCGGCTCAAACCTCCCTCCTCCGGCATACGCTTCTGGCTTTCTGCTGAGTCAGGAATTTCAGGCACTTTCGCCTCCCCACCCCTCCGATAAGCAGCATTTAAAAGCAAACAAAATAACCCCTCCTGTTGCTTGCGAGCGCCAAGGTATTTGCTGTGCAATAAGCTTCCAGAGAGCACGCAGAGATCTTTACAAGGGTGGGGCTGGGGTACAGCCCCCCTGCTCCGTAACTGCTGGGGGATCGGGGCCACCACCAATGCTGTGGGGTGCCTACACAGGTGGGTGACAAAGTCCTCTGGGCAGGTATCCCCGCAACCTCCCATCTCCAGAGTCTGGGAGAACAGGGTTAGGGGTGTCTGGCTCAAGGGAAACGAAGATTGAAGATGAAGATGGAGCCCAGACTGAGGAGGAAGGAACCACCTTTCCCCACTTCCCTGAGGTGACCAAACAACTGTGTGTGCTCTGAGAGGTGGGGAGTTCCTGACGTCATCTCCTGAAGGGACCCCAAGCCAGCGTGAGAGAGCTTTGTTGCGCTGCTGTATTCGGTAGCCCGGGGGGGGGGGTGCCTAGTTTGATAGAGCAGCTGGTAGACAGGCAGTGAACTCTAGGTGGGGAGAGCAATCTAGCCACCAGCAGGAGTTGCTACAAAGCAAGAACAGAGCTCCAGGAGGAAAGCCCCCGTTTCTTCCCCTCGGCCCAGCTGCCACCAGAGTGCAAAGCAGGGATGGGAATGGCCAGCGTTTGCTGGGTGAGGTTAAATAAGTTGGAGTTCTTGTTATTAAATATACCAAGAAAAAAGCACACCGAGAAATCTGGCCAATATAAGTTTCAAAAGTGGGAGCGGTCCCTACTCGCAAATCAAGAGTCAATTGTAAGAAAAACTAATCCATTCATATACATATCCTTATGAGTTTGAGTTTGTAATCCTTGTCAGAATACATACTTCTGAATGGATTAGTTTTTGTTACAACTGACTATTGATTTGCGAATAGGGACCACTCCCACTTTTGAAACTTATATTGGCCAGAGTTCTTGGTGTGCTAGTTTCCTGGGTGAGAGCAAAGGACATGGGTTGGGGGCCAGCGACTGTCTGCAAGAATATTATTTCAATTTCCTAGGAGCCAGCATGGAGCTATAGGCACCAGCCCCACACAGCGTTCATATTACACAAGGTGCCAGCGTCGTATGTCTAGGCAAACAAGCCCAGGTCAGTGGGGTTTCATTGCCAGAGGTCGCTCAGAGCTGGTATGCCAGGCTTGCACCCTCATCATACAATGGACCTCAAGAACACTGGGGCAGCCACTACTTCCAGCGGGCTGGAAAAGGACGGGCCGATCTTGGCCTGCCAGCTCTCTGACAAAAGAGCAGAGTAGGGCGCAGGCACGCAACGCCTCTTGCGGACACTCACTTGTTCTCGAAGGATATCGTGACCGAGTCTTCGTGGACATCTTTAACAAAACCCTGGAAGGGAAGGAACAGACAAGAGACACCGCGTTAGCACCACAGCCGGCAAGTCCCCAAAGCTCACTGCGAAAGGGGCAGCGCTGGCCCAGCAAAAAAAAGGAACCTTGCAGAAGGAGCCGTCGCCACCACGCCACCCGACTGGGACCAGCGGACCAAAGATAACAAACAGCCAACGCAAAGCAGCAGCATGGAAAGGGAGACTTGGCAAGAGAAGAACAGCTCTGCGGAAGCAAAGGTCACAGCTTGGCGACATCCCCCAAAGTTGTGATCCTCCGAGTCACTGGCCCCTAAGGGCAAATAAGGGGGCCTAGATGAATCTGTCTAAACCTCTTTTAAGGCATCTATGTTAGTGGCCATCGTTGCCTCCAGTGGCAGGGAGTTCCATAGTTTTAACTATGCGCTCCATGAAATACTTCCTTTTACATGTCCTGTTCAGGAAGTTCAGGAAGACATGAACTTCTCTCCCCCTCTCTCTCATACACATCCCACCCTGTCTCATTTCTTAAATACAATACAAAATCAATACAACCCAGGTGGTTAAGAAAGCCCAACACAGACTTCATCTCCTCAGAGTATTGTGAAAGAACGATGTCAATCAACATTTGGCGATCTCCTTCTACCGGTCCACAATAGAAAGTGTCCTTTCATACTGTATCACAGTGCGGTACGCTGGTTTGACATCAACTGATAGGAAGTGCGTTGCCTGTGAGGAAAATTCTCAGGGATGATTCACACCCTGGCCGGCACTTTCTTGATCTCCTGCCCTCGGGCAGAAGATATATAGAAGCATGATTAGTCGCACCAACAGGGTAAAGAACAGCTTCTATCTGTGGACTGTTAGGCTGCTAAATGAAAAGATAAAAACAGGGCAACTGACTTTCGGGTTTGGTGGGTGTGCGTCAGTAAATGAGGGGAATTAAGACTAAGAGAGCTGAGTGGAGGGTGCTCATGTAATCTCACTGTATACAAGTGGCAATAAAGTAAATGGCCTCGGTCCAGTATATCTGAAGGAGCATCTCCACCCCCATAGTTCTACTGAGGTCCAGCGCCGAGGGCCTTCTAATGGTTCCCTCAGTGCAAGAAGCCAAGTTACAGGGAACCAGGCAGAGGGCCTTCTCGGTAGTAGCGCCCGCCCTCCCACCAGATGTCAAAGAGAACAACAACTACCAGACTTTTAGAAGACATCTGAAGGCAGCCCTGTTTAGGGAAGCTTTTAATGTTTGATGCATTACTGTATTTTAATATTTTGTTGGAAGCCTCCCAGAGTGGCTGGGGAAGCCCAGCCAGATGGGCGGGGTATAAATAATAAATTATTATTATTATTTCAATTTACTCCTCCTAAAGCACATTCCCTGCCAGACTAGCCAACACCAGGCAGCTAGCTCATGACTCCTCCTTCAAAGAACACACGGCAGCTTCCTTTCAGCACTCAGGAGCTCACATGCTGCCAGGCCTCTGGGTCAGATTGCGTTTCTGCAGAAGAACTCCACTCTTAGCCAACCCCAACCTGCCCATCCATTTTTTAATCCCAAAGCAATGCAGGGCTGCTTAGGATCAGGGAAAGGTGCTCAGTGGGACAGCCGTTTGGGAGGAAATGCCCAAGTCCCTGGGTGCAACCCTCTATTCACTTACAGTGCTACTTCGGGTTAAGCACCGTATTTTTCGCTCTATAAGACGCACCAGACCACAAGATGCACCTAGTTTTTGGAGGAGGAAAACAAGAAAAAAAATATTCTGAATCTCAGAAGCCAGAACAGCAAGAGGGATCGCTGCGCAGTGAAAGCAGCGATCCCTCTTGCTGTTCTGGCTTCTGGGATAGCTGCGCAGCCTGCATTCGCTCCATAAGACGTACACACATTTCCCCTTACATTTTAGGAGGGAAAAAGTGAGTCTTAAAGAGCAAAAAATACGGTACTTAATTCATTCCAGAGGTCCGTTCTTAACCTGAAACTGTTCTGAACCTGAAGCACCACTTTAGCTAATGGGGCCTCCTGCTGCCGCAGGAGCACGATTTCTGTTCTCATCCTGAAGCAAAGTTCTTAACCTGAAGCACTATTTCTGAGTTAGCGGACTTTGTAACCTGAAGCGTATGTAACCAGAGGTACCACTGTACTTATTTACAAGACAGTTTCAAGATTAAAACCCGAACGGCCTGGCTTGCACCAGGATTGATGTTTGGGACATTTGGTAACACTTGTAAGTGAATGTTTTCTGGAGTTGCTAGGAAAAGAAGGGTCCAACAGGCAAATGGTTAGCCTGGTTAATGGACACAGATGGATAAACATGTGGGGGATGACATTTTTGAAGGGGAAAACCATGCTTGGATTAGTTTTCTGATTTAGGGAGGCCAACTCCACCCTTGAATACAGGCTAAAGTATTCCACAAACAACCTCTCCGCGTGGTGGCCATTCTCTGCCACAGCCTTATTCCTCCAGGCGTGTGGCTTTTAGAAGACGGGGTGCAGCCACGCCCCTGCCTCTCTTCATCTCCCGCTGCCTGCAACACGGGACATTTGGCACTGCCAGGGTGGGGAAGGGAGGACAGCCGCAGGGCCGCAATCAAGGGAGGGAGGCCTGAACATGTTCTGAGTTTGGAGCGTGATGAGGGCAGGGCGAAATGTCCTGCATGTCTACAGAGTGATTGGAGGAACAGGTGTTCCTGGGGACAGATGTCTTCTCCGCCAGCTGCTCCGCTACGAGCAAACAGCCACACGTCTCCTTCCCAGCTCCAGAGGAAGCCGGCTTTAAGCGGAGTTCATTGCCCAGTAAGCAGTGCCACTATTCCAGCACGCACAACTCACTGGGACAGAGAAAATCTAAGTTTGGAATCTCACCACTCAACCAGCATCTATTGGAGACAGCAGAAAGGAGTTACCTCTGGTTGGAAGAGGTGGCCTGCATATATCCTTGACTACATGGCTGCCTCCCAAGACTCCTTTCCTCAACAGTATGCTAAAAATCTCTCCCCTCCTCGTCCCAGGACCTGGTGACCTCTTTAGCAAGTCTGGATGCTACCCGCAATTTGATCGCCCAAGCAAAATACTCCTGCAGGCCCACATGGAGGGCGTGATAAAAGCCCGCTGGATCAGTCCAAAGGCCCATCTCAGCCAGCACCCTGTTCTTCCAGAGACCCACCAGTTGCCCTCTCCCTTCTTCCCAGTAACTGCGGAGGCAGAGCATAGCTTTCATGGCTAGCAGCCATCAACAACTCTCTCTCTCCTCTAGGAAAGTGTCTAATCCTCTTTGAAAGCCACCTGGCTTGACAGACATCCATAGCTCCTGTGGGAGTGAGTTCCACAAGTCAACTATGAGTTGCATGAAGAAATACTTTCATTCATGTGTCCTGAATCTTCCAACACTCAGCTTCAGTGGATGTACACAGCAAGAGGGAGGGAGAATAACTTCCCCCCTTTGCTCCCTGTCTATCAGTCTAGTGGGTGCATCCTGAGGCCTTGGATCGGAGGCCTTAGACACAGTCAACAGTTAGCCTGGCCATTCAGAGAGCAGCGAAGAGGCAGAGGGGGCACCATCCAACAAGGACCTGCAACCGCGATGTGGGCAGGATCAAAGATTCTGGAGTCTTTGTGAACTACTCCATGCCTGCCCTCTCCCACAGCCTGCCGAGCTCCAAGAATCCCCTTTAAAGCCCTGCTGCGCCTGAGGCTATATACGTCTCCAGGCCAGCGGAGAGAATCTCATTTATCATTCATTCAGCACAGATGGATCAGCCCCCTTCATTCCATGAGGCCAGCACACAGGAACATTTATATCTCCCACGTTCCACACCTCAAGCCTGATCTACCTGCCCTCTGGCTTTACGCTGCTAGGGCTAAATTAAAATTGCAGTGTACAACCTTTGCAATGCTTGGGACACCAAGTCAAAGAGTTTCAAGGAACCCCCCCTTTAAAGTTTCAAGCCCTCCACGCACACAAACCGCTTCCATTCATGAGCAACTCTACAACTTGAGAACCCCTGAATTTGCAGAGGATAATTTTACTCTTTGGTGGATCGCTGTACAGCAGCCGGACACTAAAAATTCTCGTTGCTGCTGCTGCAAGCCATATAGCTACTGTCCGCTAGGCCATCTGTGCACAACTTATTTGACATGCAGCGATATTCCACAAGCATTCTCTCCTGCGGGGAACATGTATGCAAAGCTGCTTGCATAAAGTATTTTCGGCCCCAAATAGGGTAAAATACTTGAAATCTCAAGTACCAGCATAAAATTCCAGGCACCTGGTCAGCCAGGACTCTCCCAGATCTAGCACAAGATATCCAATACAGCCACATCTGACTTTGAAAGAGGAAACACCTTGAAAAATATGGGATTGTTAAAAGTAAAGGAAATCAGCCCTGAGTGCTCACTGGAAGGACAGATCGTGAAGCTGAGGCCCCAATACTTTGGCCACCTCATGAGAAGAGAAGACTCCCTGGAAAAGACCCTGATGCTAGGAAAGATGGAGGGCACAAGGAGAAGGGGACGATGGAGGACGAGATGGTGGGACAGTGTTCTGGAAGCTACCAGCATGAGTTTGACCAAACTGCGGGAGGCAGTGGAAGACAGGAGTGCCTGGCGTGCTCTGGTCCAGGGGGCCACGAAGAGGCGGACACGACTAAACAACAACAACAAAAGCAAAGTTGAAGAGGGAAGTGAAGAGGGTCAAAGCTCTCTAGAAGGCGTGGAGGTTGATCTGAGCCACAGTAACAGAAGCTCAGCCACAATGCAGAATGTAGATAAAGAAAGGTACCACCAGGGCCAAGAAGAAGCCAGCGTGGCTAACAAGCAGCACCGAAGACTGAAGCCTTGTCTAAGTGAACACAAACTCTGGCAAAAGAAATGCAAGCAGACAATAAGGGATGCTTGAAAAAGAAGAACTGAGGAGCACATCACTAAACACATTAAGACCAACAATAAACAGTTATTCAAAAACATTAGAAATACGTAGGAAACCAGCTAGGGAGATAGTGGGTCCTTTGGACGACAAGCAAGTCAAAGGAGGAAAAGGAGATTACAGAGTCCATTCCGTCCAGGTCCCTATGCCTAAACTAACTTTCGCAGGAAAGAAATCTGAGGAACTGAGGTGAAGAGGGGTCACAGGAGATGAGGTTGTAGGACTTAATGACAAATTAAAAGCTGAGAAATCACCAGGTCCAGATGGCAGCCGCCCAAGAATTCTTAAAAGAACTGAAACGTGAACCTACCAACCTGCTACAAAAAAAATATGCAACTTATCCCGAAGTTCAGCCTTGACACCTGACGACAGGAAAGTGGCTGCTGTAAGACAAATTTTTAAAAAAGGGATCTAGGGAAATTACAAGCTGGATAGCTTAAGAACTGTGAAAAGCTGGTGGTAAGCATGTTCTTTGAGAGTGTCAACAAGCACACGGATTTTCAAAAAGGCTACCGCTAAAAGCCCTCACCCAAAACGCCTCATTAAACTCAGCAGTCATGGGATAAGAGCAGAGGGACCCTTTGGATCAGTAGCTGGTTACAGAAGAGGAAACTGAGAGTAGGAATAAACCAATTGCTCTCCTCATGGAGGGATGTAGAAAGTGGGGCTCCCAAGTTTGGGACCTGTGCTTTCTTCAGTTGCTCACGAATGGTCAGGAGTTAGTGGTGAGCCGTGAGGCAGCCAAGTCTGCTGAAGACACCATTTTTTGTGGAATTGCGAGGAACTACAAATGATCCAGCAGGGCCCTTCTTTTCGTTCTTAGGCATGAGACCTTGGGGGTAGCTCGATAGAAATGTCAATCCTGCATTCAGCAGCTGCGAAAAAGGCAAATTCCACATTAGGGGTCATTAGGAAAGGGACTGAAAATATAACTGCCAATATTGTAACAAATGATATACAAATTAATGGTAACCGTACTTGGAATACCATGTACAGAAAAGTGCAGTATGTATGTTGTAGTGCTGGACACGGTTCAGAAAAGGACACACAAAATGATCAAGGCGTTTGAGAAACTCCTCTATGACAAAATGTTATATTTGGGTTTTTCAGTTAATAAAAAGGTGAGAATTGGGGGTGGGGAGTGATGATAGAAACTTGTACAATTATGTATGGTGAGAAAGGAGGTAGAAAAATGGTTTCCTCCCTCTCATAAGACTAGAACTCGTGGACATCCGATGAATCGGATTGTTGGAAATCTCAAAACAGCAAAGGAAAGTACTTTTTCAAACAGTGCATAGTTGGAGTCAGTGTGGTGTTGTGGTTAAGAGTGGTAGTCTCACAATCTGGGGAACCGGGTTCATGTCTCTGCTCCTCCACATGCAGCTGCTGCGTGACCTTGGGCTAGTCACACTTCTTTGAAGTCTCTCAGTCCCTCACAGAGTGTTTGTTATGGGGGAGGAAGGGAAAGGAGAATGTGAGCCGCTTTGAGACTCCTTCGGGTAGTGATAAAGCGAGATATCAAATCCAAACTCTTAAAACTTTGGAATTCACTCCAACAAAGTGATGGCCATGAACCTGGGAAGGTTCTAGAAGAGAATTAGACAAAAGGCTATCAATGGCCACTAACCATGAGGGCTACATTTTACCTCCAGTATCAGAGGCAGCAGGCCTCTTGACTACCAGTCGCTGAGAATCACAAGTTCTGTTGCACTCAAATCCTGCTCCAGGACACAGACTCAGATGGGCTCTTATGTTCTTAGATCAACTATTACTAGGGGTAGTTAAAAGTTAACAGGATGTAGTCAACTACCAGCGGCAAGGCAATACTGCCATGTGTATTACTGCCTACGATTGATATTCTGTCAACATGCAAACTCTGTTAAAAAAAGGCCAGCCCATTAACCTTACTCGTATGCTCCAGGTAGAGTTACAACCTTGTTATTTTACTCTAGCCGGAAACAGCAACGTTAGAGATGTTCTACAAAGGACCACCAGGAGTGACTGGCGGGCAAAAGCTCACCTTTCAAATTCTAAGAAATAAGGTCTTCTATGGAAACCTTTGGGAAGCCCAGGAACACACTAAAGAATTGATTTGTGGCTCGTGCATTTGAAAACAAAGTTGGAGTTACAGTAGCCAAGGAGCTGCAGAAATCTCGGAAGAGGAAGCTGCTGAAGTTGAAAGGCGGAAAAGAGTATGGGCAAAGAGTATGGGCAAATCGTATACTTCAGCTTGGAGGTTAGTTAGCATACCCTCCCTCTATGGATGCAATTCTATAAAAGGGGGTGTGGTAAAGAATATGCCACTGTCAGGAGGAACATGAAGTCTTTAAATCCTGTTCAGAAGCCCAGCACCTTTCCACAGAACAACACAACGCTTGGCTCGAGTAGAGCGTTCCCACTTTCTCCTCATTCAGCTTTCTCGCAAGTCCGCTGGGGCACATACGGCTTCCGGCAGCAGCCCCCACTTAAGCAGTTGCAAGGAAGGGGAATGCAAACAAGCACTGCTGGAAGGAAGGATCTAGACAGCATGGATTCCTCAATGAGAGACACCAGAGATGTTAAGGTTGCACAGATGCTCATTGTACATTTGCTCCCCAAGCCATTTGAGCCAGTTACTTAAGAGTAGACGTTTGCAGAAACTGACATCACCTGAGTCCCTAGGAAACACAGACTGCCTTTTACCAGGAGACACTATTTGGTCTGCAAAGCCCAGTATACTGGCCCCATGGCCTAAATGTATTTTCTGTCACCTGCGGCCTGATTCTTTTAAACAGAGACATCAGGGATTGAGCTCAGGATCTCCTGCATGCAAAAACAGGTGCACTACCAATGGAGCTACGGTTTAAGAACCCCACGTCTTCTGCAGCCCCCGTTTCCCAGGCTGAGAGTCTTTTGAGGACATGTAACATGATGTGTGTTTCCTGGTGGTAAAAAATGTTATGCGATAAGGTAGGGTTATGAGTTTAAAAATAAATTACTTGATAAGGAATCTATGGAGATGCCACAGCAAAGAGCACGCAAACAGGCTAAAAATAACCCACTCCATTACGGGAAACGAGGATTAGCCCCTCAAATATTTCTATGCCTTTTATTATTCTTATTACTGTTACTGATTAAATTTGTATACCGCCCTTCATCTGAAGATCACAGGGCGGTACACAACATGAAAATACAAAATGAGAACACAAAATACATAATAGAACAAAAACATACCAGAAACCCCCCTTCCACAAACACATTTAAAAGGCTATAGAATGCTAACCAGCCAAAGGCCTGGTTATAGAGAAAGGTTTTTGCCTGGTGTCTAAAGAGAAGTAATGAAGGCGCCAGGCAAACCTTCACGATTCATGGCCATCTACTGGTTGTGACTCCATTCTGAAGTGGGGAGTCTAAAATTAGCAATAGACAATACAGTGAGCCCCCACCTCGCAACCTTGTGCTTAGGTTACAAAATTCCCCGAGGCCTTTCTAAACAAGCCATCGCTTCTCACTACAGAATAGGGACCAGAGATTCCGCTGAAACAAAACATCACTCCTCCGCACAGGCCCAGTAGAGCTTGGCAGAATACAGAATCTCTCATACCCTAGATATCTTGGGCTTCCTCCTTATCTATGTTTGTCCCTTCATGTTGGGCAAAGCAGCATTCTTGACAACTAGGTTCAGTGACGATGAAAGCCTCAACTTCTAGAGAGACTGGCATTCCTGTTACCACGCTAAAGGGAGAAAAAGCCCTTTTCCAATATGAAAAAAAGGTGTGGATCAGGAACTGAGGAGCCCACTGCAGCCTGGGAACAGCTTGTTGGTCCTAATTTAGAGACACTGAAAGTTACCTGGGAAACTCAGGTCTTGCTACGATGAACTGCTTTTAGTCTACTAAAGGTAATTCCACTGAACATGATTGGATGCTCAAAAGCAGTAAACTGCAAAGAGCAGGCCTTGAATCTGGAAGGCAGGCTGAGACCTCAGCTGGGCCCAGCCTTGTGCAAGCCGGATGGACGATTAATTTCCCATCGGAACTAATCAGGGAAATGCATATAACTCAGCATTTTATTATAGCAAGACAGGGTGACACTAATTCTACTGATGGGAGACACCCATCACAAATGAAGTTGTCTCCTGTTGTGCCAAACCACTGGCCCTGTATGGTCCATTCTGAGACGCAGCAAGGACCAGGCAGAAGGTCTTTCCTTCGCTGTTCTACCTGAGGCCCTTTTAGCTGGAGATGTCAGGCATGGAATGTGGAACTTAATACTCCCACCACTGGACAGTGGTACTTTCCAAGGTGAGTTTATTCCCTCCCTATTTTAACAGCACCTGCTTCATAAAGATACATACAGAGTCATTCCCTACAAGGCAGGAAGTTACTTCAAGGTGGCGTGGAACTGGAGCACCTTCCTTATAAATACATTTACTTGCAGCACCTGGGAGGAAGCAGCACTTTGGGAGAGAAGAGCCGCAAGTCAGAAGGAACATGTGTCAGTGCCAATCAAGCAGCAAACAGATACAGTTACAAGATCTCCCATCCTTATTTCCTTACACAATAAAGGAGCACTAAACTCGACTGCACTGTGATATAAATATATTTCTGTCTGCTGGATGGCTGCTGACTAATACGCTCATGGCATTTCAAGGTACTCTGTTTTGGAGGGAGTACCTTACCAGGAAAGGCAGGCTTTAGAATGTAGGGAAGGGACTCCAAAGATGTGCCTGATGGAGGAAACTAAAATAAAAATAGCAGGTAAGTGCAACATGAGGCTCAAGTGACACAAGAGACCCCTCCTTCCCAGCCTGCCCGTGAGATCAGGCCTTTGGAAGGGAGCAGAGGCCTCTGTTAAACTGATCCCCAGCATTGCAAAGCCATGACATGAGCGCTGCACTGGACTCAACCCTTCTAGCCCATAGACGCTGACCTGGCGACCACTCGCAACCAACCTCAGGCTACACTCCCAATCAACCCAGCCCCATGATCTGCAACACACGCCCAAACCATGGCCCTGCCTCTTAAGTTTGAAGGCCCAGAGCCCCCACCCCGCCCCATAACGGGCCCTCTGACCCCTTCAACCCCATGCCCAGGGGGGAGTCTCCTTTGCAGAACCCCAAGCGGCCCTTGCTTCCCCCTTTCTTCACTTTCCAGAACCCCCAACCCCACATTCCTCTTAAGCCACTCCCCAAATGCCCTCCTCCCCCATGCTTGCTTTTGCAAAAGCCACCAGACAGAAGAGGAGTCTCCCCCCCCCCATATTTCAACCCCGCCCCACAACGGGCCCTCTGACCCCTTCAACCCCACGCCCAGGGGGAGTCTCATTTGCAGAACCCTGAGCAGCCCTTGCTTCCCCCTTTGTAGGGGCTTCACTTTCCAGAGCCCCCAACCCCACCTTCCTCTTAAGCCCCCCCCCAAAGATGCCCTCCTCCCCCACGCTGGCTTTTGCATAGCCCCTAGAAAAGCCACCCAACAGGAGTCTCCCCCCCCCCAATATTTCAACCCAGGGGGCTACAAAACGTACAGGATTTTGGGGGGGGGGGTGGAGTTGAGACAGACACCCCCCTGCCTCTGGGCTCCCCACCCCTCACCCCGGGGGAAGGCCCGGGCGCCCAGCGTGGCCACCGCGCCCCCCCACCCGCCCGCCTCGAAGCCCCTCTCGCCCTCCCCGGGATCTCCATGGCAACCCCTGGGGCCCCGCCCACCCACCCCCGGTCTCCAGGGCAACGCCTGTCCCCGCACCCCGGCCTCCTCACCTTGTAGAAGGCCCCGTTGGAGCCCCGCACCTCCACGGGCAGGCCTTCCATGGGCCCCGCGGGGGACGAGGGGGAGGGAGGGGCGGCCGCCGCCAAGGAGGGGGAAGGAGACGGGGAAGCGCCGCCCCGGACACCGCCGCCGCCGCCCCCCCGCGGTTGTGGTGCCGCCGCCGCCGCCGCCGGTGGGGGATGGGGGCGGGGCGGGGCCCGGCCTCCTCCGGCTCCGCCACCGTGACCGGCCCCCAGCCGCGGCCTGGCGCGGCCCGGACTCCGCTCTCGGCCTTCCGCCGCCGCCGCTCCTCTTCCTCCTCCTCCGGCCTCCTCCTCCGGCTTCCCCGGCGCCGCCGCCGAGAGCGAGAGAGGGAGAGAGAAGGAAGGAGCGAGAGCGCGCGCGCGCGCCTCTGAGGGAGGGAGGGAGGGAGGGAGGGAGAGCGAGCGAGACCTCCCCTCACAGAGAGAGAGCGAGCGAGGAGAAGGAGCGCGCGCGCTGCGCTCCGCCCCCTCCCTTTGGCCGTGCGTGCCTCTGCGTACGCTGCGCCGGAGGAGGAGCCCTAGGGCCACGCCCACCGCGCGCCGGAGGCTCCAATCCCCGGGCGCCTCCGCTGCCTTTGGCCAATCGCCGGCGAGCGCTCGCGCCGTAGGGCGGGGAACAGGAGGGAGGAGCCTGCTTGTGACTCTTTCTATCTCTCTCTCGCTCTCTGCGCCGCCGCCGCCGCAGCTCAAACAACTTCTCTTGTTTCTCCTCACGCCCGCCTCCCCTCCCTCCTCTCTCCCAAGCAACCAATCGAAAAGGGAAGGGCGGGGTTTGCCGAGACGCCAATCACAGCGCCGAGGCGCAGGCGCGGCAGGCTTTCCGAGCGTTGGCCAACCCCGGGACAGAACTCGAGCGGGTCCCGCCTCTGCTGGCCAATCATGACCCCCCTCCGGAATAAGCACCGCCCCGCTTTTTAACAGTATTCTCGAACTCGCGGGCGTCTTCCCCTCGAGGGTCGCTCAGCGTCCTGCGCTGTGGGGGCCCCGCCCCTCTTCCTTGGAAGTACCTATCACATGCAGGGTCCCGCCCACAAATCAGGCTCTCCCTTTCCTTGATTGGATTTCTCTTCATGTCAAATCGACAGGGCGGTAATGTGAGGGGAGAGGAGCCCTTCCCCGCAACTCGGCCTTTGGCCCCGCCTACATTCTTCAGCAGACCAATAAAATTAGACACCCGCCTCCTTGGTCTACTCTTCTCGAATGTCAGTCACGAGAGGCAGGTGCTGTTATCCCGCCTTTTTCCTCAGAGCTGCGGGTTCGCGGCCCTCGCGCCGCTAATTTGAGTTTGAGGGAAATAATTATTATTATTACTATTAATAATAATACTAATAATTATTATTATTACTATCATTGAAGAAATAAACTTAGTATATTTTACCTCAGCCTTAAACGCAATAAAGACTCTTAGGGTACTCCAGTATGTATTCACCCACTCAGAACTCAATATTAAATTATTGGGACTCCTTAATAGTCAAAATATGAGCAAGCCTGTTGAAAGGTCTCTAATAAAACGAAAATAAATCAAAAGAGCACTGTTGTCGACTGTGGGATAAGGCCACACCAAGAGAGCCACATCAAAATGACGTGAAGCCAAAGATGTTAAATTATTTTTGTATGCCACAACTGCTGCTCGAATTTTATTAACTAAGAATTGGAAAAGACAAGAACTACCAACAGTGGAAGATTGGCAGATGAAGATGATGGACCTGACTGGAAGAGCCCGTGACCAGAAGGAGGAGGATTACCAGGAAAAATGGACGAAATTTAAAGACTATTTAGTTAAATATGTTAAGTTAAATTAATTGGAGACGCTTGCAAATAACAGATAGGCTTACGGATTTGAGTAGGTAATGTGAAGTCAAAATGTGTAATATTGTAACTGGAATAGTGAAAGATGTATGTGATTAGTTAATTTTATAAGAATATTGGTTTTGGAAACTTGAAATGATATACACTGAATTTCAACAAGGGCATACGAAGTCCCTAACAATGTTACTAAGTTTGGTTTAAACACGGTTGAGATTATGTTTGCTCTGTATTTGTTTGTTTGTTTAAAAACATTTGGAAAATCAATTTAAAATAGGCGAACTGATGTAGCCAAAAGACACACTGGTCACTTCATGACAGACATTTTGGGAGGTGATTTATAAAGGGCAAGGCGGTCCCAAAAATGGGAACTGTGGGATTCTTAAAACCAAATAGCCACTATGTCTCTGGTAACATTTGGGATTTACCTCACACAAAATGGCAGCCGTGGACATATATGTGCCCCCCCAAATGGATCTCCATTATGGTTTTGATTTATGGGCTATTATTAAAACGAGGCTGCATTTTAAATTGTATTTTTAACCTGTATTTTAAATTGTCCCCCCCCCCTATTATGTTTTTATTGTAATTTTATTGGTGTTAGCCACCCTGAGCCCAGCTCTGGTCGGGGAGGGCGGGGTATAAAAATTTATTTATATTATTATTTATGTGTGATTCCACAGGAGTGAGTGAGCCAGACCTCTGCTAGGCATTCCTGAAGGACGTCTTCAGGCAGGGCATTTGTCCACAACCAAGATTAAAAATAAAAATAAAAATTGTGCAAAATGTCACAAAACCTTTTTTTTATAAATAATATTTATTGCTTTTAAAAGTTACAAAAAAGTAGAAAAAAGAGAGAGAAAACAAAAAAGAAAAAAAGAAAGAGAAAAACAATACAATATATAAACAATACAAGCCCACCCTAAACCCATTGAACTAAACACATAAACAAAGCAAGACAAAAACAATTTAAAAACATCCCTCCTTTTCCATACTCTGTCCTTCATTCCCTTGTTTCCTCGACTTCCTCACACCTCCCTTCTTGTATCCCGCTTCTAATACTTGTTTCAGCAAATCCTTTCCATCTTTCTCTAATTTCTGTCATATTATGAATAACATATTCTTTAACCTTATTTGCCATTAACGGTTGATTACTTATATACACCCAACTTCTTATAGCATTTCTGCTAAATCCATAAAATATCATTCCACCATTTTTCTGACAGTCATTACTTTAACAAAATTTCTAAATAAACACTTTAAATTTTCCATTAATCTTCCACTATCTCCTCTCCCTGGCTTCGGATTCTGCCAGTCCTTTCCGTCAGTTCCATATGATCCATCAACCTGGAGCCCTTATATCCGAGGCTCTTAAATCTCTTCCAAGTCCCTTCTGCAGGTCTTCTTCATATTCTTTGATGCTCAGGAGCAAATCTCGGGAAAACTCCAGCCTAGCAATACTTTTGTTCCTTCTGGACAGTTCAGCCAAATTTCCAAAGTTAAAAGTAAAGTCCATAGAGTGTTTCAGAACGTATTTCAGGATTCCTCCAATTCTAGCGACCCCCAAAACTTCAAACTCCTCCAAGCCCAGGTCCATGTCCCAAAAGTCAGTCAATCCCTGGATAGAGGGTTCTTTCCAACTTTCCTTCTTCAATCCAAGCCGGGATCCTAGCCTCAAAGTTTGACTTTTGCTAGATTCAGTCATGAAAGACCTCAATTTATAATCCTCAATCTGCTTCTGAAAAATTAAGGATCCCGCTTGTACTACTTTTAGTTTCACATCATCAGCTTTCTCCTTTTTCTCCACCATTTTCACATCATCAGCTTTCTCCTTTTCCTCCACCATTTGTCCAACCAAGATATGTTCCTGTACCAAATCCTGAGTTGTTTCTGTATTGACACTCACTTTTTGATTCAAATTAATCACATTCTGTTCCAAGTTGTCAATTTTAGAGATCGTGTCATCTGTCTTGTTATGAAGCTGTTCCAGCGAGTAGTTTATCTTGTGTAATACCGTCACAATGGCTTCTCCTATCAACATTTTGAGTGATCCAAGGTCAGACTCTAGTTTTTAGAATCTTATCTTGCAGCTGGAGCTCTCCCTGTTGCACTCCTGTAACAGTTTCACATGCTCCCTCTAGAGGGAAACAGTCTCCGTTTGTATCAATTCTTTCAAAACAACTCAGGCAAGTAACAATAGTTTCAATTTTCGGTTACTTTTTCCTCCATTTTTAAACGCAGAAGAGGACAATGGAGACAGTGCCTTTCTTATTTTAGCTAGCTGTCAAATCCGTTCTGTCAATAAACATTCCCCGAACGTCATCTGGCAGCCCTTTTCCAGGTTCAGAGCAGTGGCAATTTAATTTTGACTCTCTTCTGCAGGCACACTAAATCCAAAACTCCCCTCTCTTCTCCTGCTTCCAAGAGGGGTTATATATTCTTGTCCGGTGGGAATTTAATCCTTTATCAAAAGCTTTCAAAGACTTTAGCTTGTAACGTCTTTGCTTCAATCTATTTACAAAACAGGAGGCGGACTTCCTGTTTAGAGCCTTCCCGCTTCAGCGCCAAATTAAAGTGTTTCAAGGTCCAATTTTCCGTTCTACTCATGGGTAGTCGTTTAAAATCCAATTGTCTACAGGAAAAAGTCAGCGCTCTCCAGCAACAGCAATGCGGCTTCACTCCGTGAAAGAAGCGGTCGATTCAAAGCACCGCGCCGCTCACCCCACGTCGCTCCGGATCCCCAAAACAGGGTTTCCCCGTGAGTAGGGGGGGCGCAAATGGTGCCAGCCGAATCCCAGGTTCACAGGCTTCTCCCGCCTGTGATTTCTATGGGTCTCCGCCTTCACCGTGGCGGTCAGACCCTGCTTTTCACGGAGCAAATTCCTCCCGATCGGAGGAATTCAGCCATTGCCGGAGGCGCCTCCCCGGAAGTCCAAAATGTCACAAAACCTCCGCTACGTCGTCCATATTTTCTCTTCAGAACATCAAATTTTGGTGCTTTCATTTTTAGAAGCCTAACAGCAGGAATCTTGCTGTTTCGATGGGATTCAGAAGTCCTCCACGCAGCAGGAGAAAAACAACACACAGACACGGACGCAAAATGGCAGCCGCATGGAGATTTCTGGAATTTGGGCCCTTCGACATCATTCTCCTCAGGCGGTTTGATGAATATGTTGACCATTGCCTTTCACAATATGGTGGCCACCTGCTGGCGATCCCATCACCGACAAGAAGTTGCCTCACACCAAAAAGATGTGATTTACCCGTCGTAATCCTGAGAAGCTTTTGGTCAAAGTCTCTACCGAGTCAACCTGGTGAGGGGCGAAAAGTA